GATCCGCCAGCGGCGGGGTTTTCCCCACCCCCCGGGGGGACTTGGCAAGCCTACTGCAAAGTACAAATACGCATAGTGATGTGAATTATTTTCTAGGCTGCATCAGACCAAATGCAATGGGAGGGCTGGACTGCTCCTGTGAATGCCACTTGAATAGAATAGAAAAATTGCTTTTTCCATGGGAGAGTGCTCTGAAACATAACAGCAGGATGGATCTTCCACTCCTACAGAAGTTATCTGCAGCTGCAGGGAACCCCAGCATGAGTTGATGATTCTTCTTGAAGCTAAAAGGCTCTTTGGGCCATAAAGGTCTGTAAACGTGGTTGCTAAACATTAGACGGACCATCCCAGGTGTTTTGGTTTTTAAATGCAACTGTGTGTTCAGACTAGAAAATACAACATTTTAATTTCTAAGAAAGGTAGGCTTGTAGTTCCCCAGTAAAGGTGAAGGACTGTCTGCTTGCAGTTCCCGTTATCCACAGCCAGAGAGGTGGGAGAATTTTTTTAAAAAATGCCATCAGTGCATACGCCTTTACATCATTTGTGGAATGAACCAGGAAGTTACATATATTCGCTCTAGGAATCACTGGAAACTTTATGGTTTTACTATAGTGTTTTCAACCATTCCTAGAGCGACCTTATGTCGCTTCCAGGTTTGCACCGGAAATGATAGGACGGTGAAACATCTGTGTTCTGCACTGAAAATACAAGCTGTGATAACATCCAGTGCATAATTTACTCAGGTTTTAACCCTTTAACTGTTAGATAGATTAGGACGAGAGATGTACAAAGAAGCTTTATGTAGATAATTAATTTTATGATACTGATTTTATCTGTCTTTATTTGTTTTGCTCTGCTTCGTCTCACATAATAAAGTCTAAGCTGAAGAGAAGTGATGTAATGGTGCGTGCAGTATGACGGCCCCCAGGACCCTGCCCTTAAGCCTCCCATCAGTTGCCTATCAACCCTGGAGCAAAGCCCCATGTTTTGATGAACCCAACAGACGGAATCATGATAGGGGGAATCTGACAGATTGGTCCTTTCCGCACTTGGATCTCATCCCTGGTTTTATCAGAGTTCAACTCGCGACACAAGACCTTGCATTTATCCCTACTTATAACCGCATCCGTTTATCCCAGCACAAGTGTGGGGCAAAACCAGGGGGAAACTCAATGTAATGTGGAAACCAAAAATACCATAAAGTTAGGGATCGCCAGGCCCCAGTTCTGTTCTATTTTGGTACCAGCTGCTGTGTGATAATTACAGGCAGGGCTATTTTGGGGCA